GCTTACGTACCGTTGAGAGCTAGTGGAAAGATCTGACAGCTGACATCCAGAAACACACAAAAACAAAAGCCCTTATGAAACAAAAAATGGCAATAAAGAATTGTAACATTCTTTAAATGGTGCATAACTCATCTGGAATACGTAATGATGGCTTTCAGATGCGTGAGGAAGAAGTTAATGGTTTTCAAATGACTTACCGAGCCTTCAGGGGTCCCAGAACAAGTAGAGGATGAATTATCTGCACCTAATTATTGACAAGGCAAAAGTTTAGTGTGAAAACCTCAGTGGAGGAACAGTAGGACTTATTGGAAAATGTGTGTTTTTACCATCACCTGAAGTAGGGGAGACACTTAATGCATTGTTCTGACACAAAGCAGTTGATTCTTTGGTGTCGCTGTTTGTGTGGATAGTGTCTCTTTTAATGGCTAAGTTCAAACAACAAGAACAACAAAAACTGATCACACACATACCAAAGCTACATCATAATACTATAAGAAGCACTTGTCATTTACTATTATAATAAGGAATAAATAAGCAATTAAACATAGCACTGTAGTGCACTCACCACGTTGCATCGAGATGATCATTTTAAACAGAATTATCAGGAGAATAAGAATTACGGCAGCGAGGAAACAGATGATGGCGTACATCAACGGATGAAGATACTCACTAAAACAATGCAGAAATAAATGTTGATATCTGGAATCATCACAAGATTAAATTACGTAGTGAGGAGAAGAACAGTTTTAAGACATTACAACCAACTTGATCACTTCTCACGGAAGAAAATGCAAATACTATACAACTCAAAGGCTGAAAGTAAAAAGATTTTAAATGGGTTATATTGTAAATCTACCAAATACTTGTTGCATAGTTCACTCACAGAATTAGATATGATAAATTCAAGTGGTATTTCAGTTAAAAAATAATAATAATACATTGAGAATTATAGAATTACCAAGCTGGGTTTCCTGCATTTTTATTGCTGTTATCTGCAAAAAAAAAAAAATATTATTTGCATTAAAACAAACTGATACAGGTGATCATCTATACAATGTGTGCTTTTTTCTATATTCAGTTTCAATATTCCATAATAATTTCCAAAAACCATGTAACTATGTAGTTACAAATTCCATGTCAAATGAATTTCACGCATCATTTACATCAATATCTTGTATAGTATTTGTTCATAATAAATCATTCTGTATCACATTTTTTCCACTCTTGATGCTTTTTTGTTTCATATCTGTGTTTGCCTCAATAAATAAACATCTGATTTATCTGTCTTATTATATTTCAACTTACAAAAATTGGTTAACTGTTGTTGTATACAACTAACAGATTTTAATCATTTAAAATTAATTTTGTATTTTACACACTGCACATTTTCTTTAAGAATATTATTTTAAAACCTTAATCTTACATTTTTATTATTATTATGATATCTTTTGATATCTATTTAAACTATATAGTCTACATTTCTGGTTTTGAACAATCATCATAATGTATTTCAAAGCAAAAAATCTAATCAAATCTATGCCACGTGTCTTACCTGCCAGCACATTGAAGAGAAACATACAAAGAGTAATAATTAACAAAGGTTGTATAATCCACATGATGCCTTCAGAAACTCTCACAAATTAGTTCGATTTTCAAATTCCTTCTTATAATGATCTTTAATATTTTTATCAAAGTGTTGATCAAGTCTCCCCTTAAAAGCACAACCACGGAAATGCTCAGTGATTATCTAGAGTCAGTGGAAAGTTGTGGTTGAACATCACCAGTCTTAAATAAGGTATAAGCTTGAAGATACAGCACTTAAGTATCCTGCTTTTGAAAGCGATGTTCTGAATGTTAAATAACATTTCTACCTAAACACTCTTTTTTTTTTTTTTTTTTTTTTCATTTTTAAAAAC